TGACCTCTATAACCTTACACCACGCTTCCCTGATCACGAGCACGAGCTAGAGAGACCATCAACATCTTCAACACAGCGACCAATATCACTACAATGGTCACTACTTCTCCACGCACGACAATCCACACATATTTCTATCGCGACCCACAACATCCAGTCTGACACAAGCAATTAACTAGAAAATCACACGGAACATACCTCACTTAGCCATCACACCAGCCATTTCTCTTGATAAGTTGACAGGGCACCATCATGGTAATGACACATTCTCTTTAGAGTCTCTCTCTGATTCAGTACCGGACCACTTGCTCTAATCTTGCGAGATACACCAGCCTTCGACATCACTGAAAGGAGGCAAGACCCAACCAATTGCTACAAACATCTTTACCTCCGCTCTCATAATAGCTTGATCATATCCTCTTCACATCTGGCCACCTCCCTATCCCTCCTAACCATAGAACCATAATCACATGCCTCTAGACTTGGGCCTCTAGCCTAGCGCGTCTTCAACTATGTGCATATAACAGAAAACGCAATTCCTTGACACTGTAAGCTTTGTTTCACTATCATCTGAGTGCCATCACGTCTTACTAACGAACGCTCGGTGTGATAAAACTCTCATACAGTAATCACACCATGTTCTCAAACGTTGCGAGCTAACAACTTAACCTATGTATTACATAAGCGCGCGATCAAACAGATGTCTAAAGACCGACCTTTCATGTCTTTACAAAAAGTTGGAAAAATTTCTATATTGCCACCTGATTTTACAATGAAACATCAAAATTTTCCAAGTTATCAGAATAGGTGGAAACTATTTTATGGAATCTCTACACATGTGAGCATCATGGTTAGTTAGCTAGCTAGGTAGGTTAGTTTGGTAGCTGAAAAGTTGAAAGGTGATTGGTTGGTTGGACGTACGTCAAGAACCAATAAGAATTGACCCAAATTCTTTGGTGGAGACGAAGACAGATTAAAGGGTATAAAATGTCGGTGGTGCCTAATTTTTGCATGGATGTTTTGAGACCAATAACTCCAAAGAAATTTGTGTGTCAAAGAAGGACGACACTCACTCTCGTCCAATTAAAACTCTCTCAATTTTCTGAAAAGGGCAAAAGGAGAAAAGAGTTCCACCAAAAACACAAAAGAAAAAAAAAAGAAAAATCTTGCTTTAATCGTCCCTTTCTCATATATGGCATTGTTTTTTAATTCATGGGAACATCACCACATGAAACACGACGCCGACTCGGCATGTATTTTAATTAGCGACGAAAAACTAATACGGGTACCAAAAACAAAAGTCACAAGATGAAATATTATACATATTGTGCAAGTGGTCATTTACCACAGTGGTGGAAATGAGTTAAGTTCTTGCATGACGGCGTGGATTCAAATCTCGTCGGTTGCTAATCTAATAACTAATCTAACAAAATCTATCATTTGACAAAAAAAAAAAAAATTATTCATGTAATAAAAGCGAACGACAAAGTCAAATACTGAGTCAAATACTAAGGACATATGTATATTGGGACCAAGGTTAGGACCACTTAGAGTTCGGGAGATATACATGTGAAGGTCTTACAAGGACCGTCCAAATGTTTGATACATATCCTTTTTGTACCCACCAAGCGTTCGTTGTAATGCCTGCAAGCGTGTGTCGACAGGTTGCGTCAATAATACCCAACAAATTATCTCGATATCACTCACCAGATTATTTTTGCATACGTCGATATCTGTTGACATGTGCACAACATAATTTGATTGAAGATAATAACCTCACCAAGTGTTCGACGAAATGCTTGAGTGAATAACTGAAATTGTCTTGTGTGCGTAAAAAACTACTAGTGAGGAGCATGCTTGTAGACCATGAGTTTAAAACTGACAGACCCTTTTCTTGGAAATTGGCCCAAGCCTTCTTGAAGAAGAAGGAGACACTCCAACCCAAACACAATTCGGGCCTCGAAAGGGGTACAAATTACCCAATGTCGTTTATCTGGTAATCCCACATCGACTGTGCTTGCCATAGACGTCTACGTATGTTAAGTACCGAGCTCAATCACGCAACGCTTGTGACCCAATTGTGGGGGACATTAAAGATGGTGCGGAAGGTAAGTGCATGAAGTCGATCTCATTCCTCACAAAGAAAAAACGATCCCGACAGTGACTAGTACTGAAGGTATACGCGCCACCTGTCAGCGTATACCATGACTCGTCTTCCTGTATACACAGGAATGTCCATATGGGTCTCTCTACTAGGACAGCAGTGCTGGCACACGGACTACATCTTATGGACCTCCATTTCTTTTATGATTCATTCGATCCGATAAACAGGAATACACATTGAAGCATGGAAATCACTTCTTAATTTTGAATTGTGAAACTAATCGAACAGTGAAAGGAGAAGTATCACTACCGTGTCGCGATAGCATGCCTCCATGGTAAAATTTCAGTCGATCATACAAAATTTCGCGGACGTAAAATAGTATCTTCGTTAATTACAAAAGGAAACCAGTTCCGGAATCCATAGACGTACAAAAACACACATATATACAAACTTAAAACGCCGCCAATCATATGCAGGGCTCAGGCTCATAGCTGCTCGTAACTTATTATTAACAAAGCTATTGAAGGCGTGAGCGACCCACTGAAGCATATGCTGCTTCAAGATTATTGGAATGGAAGACGCATTTCAAAGTTCTACATAGCGAAGCTAGAAAGAAGATGATCAGGAAAACACTGCGGCATTGTCTGTAGCAGCTTCGGGATGGTAAAGAAGCATTTCCCTCCACATCATCTCCCTTATCGTCTCTTCTCCTAAATCCTCGTCTATGTCGAGATCAATAGGTACCTCGGCTGGAGGGTTATTACTAGGATCATACAATGGGGCCATGTATGGGTGTTGGAGTGCTTCAGTGACGCTAATCCTCTTTGATGGATCAAAAACAAGCATCTTTTGCAGTAGATCAATTGCTAGAGGATGAGCATCAGGGTAAAGGCGGGTTAAGGGGGTCCCCAGAGAAAAGGGCAGCGATTTTATGTATTTCGTCGCCTTAGGATTGTCTATAAATTGGAGATCCTCCTCCCTCTGGCTGCCAAGGATGTTAACTATGAGTTTGAGCTGGTTGAGGCATTCTGTACCAGGGAAGATGGGTTTCCGGCCAAGAAGCTCAGCAAAGATGCACCCAACAGACCACACATCAATCGACGTTCCATAGTTGTCACAGCAGAGCAGGAGCTCAGGGGCACGGTACCAACGAGTGACAACATACTCGGTCATGAACTGGTCCTTTCCCGTGCTGGTGCGCGCTAGCCCAAAATCACATATTTTTAAGTCACAGTTTGCGTTGATAAGAAGGTTTCCAGGCTTCAAATCACGATGGAGAATGTTTGCAGAATGGAGATACTTTAGGCCTCGAAGCAGCTGCAAGGAAATTCTATTTTCTTCAGTACAAGTGAAAAAAAAAAGATTAACACGAAAGACAACTGTGAACATATCCTCTCCAAAGTTTTAAATTCGAAACAATGGAGGACAAATTCCGTAGAAAGAAATAAATTAACAAGAAGAAGTACAAAAAAGGGTTTTTCCGAAAAAAGAAAAAGAACGAAAGGCATAAAGGAAGCACGGTAAAATCAAATCCAGCAGCTCAATCCATCCATCATACTCATCCCTTAAAAGCCCTAGTCTAAACCAAATCAATATTTCAAATTCAAATCGATGAAAGAAACGGTAGCACCACCCAACAATCTAGCATGGTTACGATAATTCTACGTTCAACAATCTAGCATGGTTACGTTAATTATTTGAAACTTCTATGTCCAACAACATTAGTGCAGCGGTCTTCGAATTTTCATAAAACCGAGCGAGAACTATCAAAAGTGTTCTGCAGTATCAGCTTCTATGAAGCATTCCAAAATGCAAACATGTTTCATCTTCCAAGTAGCCAACAATGGACAAGATAGCAAAGTAAATTCGACAATATATGCACGAGAGTACGAGTTCATACCGGATTAAATCACCAAATTGGTAACAATTTCACTAACAAAACAAAGCGAAAGATAATTTGAATCCGAAAACAATCAATTTACATTACCTGAAAGAGGAAATACTGACAGTGATCATTCGAAAGCGGTTGCGAGGACTTGATAATCTGGTGGAGATCGGTATCCATGAGCTCGTACACCAAGTACACGTCTTTAAAGCTCTTCCTCTGAATCGGCATCATCACATCCTTCAGGGCAATCACGTTCTCGTGCCGGAGGTGCTGCAGCAGCTTCAGCTCCCGCAGCGTCCGCAACGCGTCGACTCGGTTCTCGAACGCATTGTTGATCTTCTTAATCGCCACCTTCTCGTTCGTCTCCCTGTTCACCGACGAGCAAACGATGCCGTACGCTCCCCGCCCGATCGGCTTGATCGGCACGTACTTGGTGTCGATCTCGAACAGCGTCTGCCACATCGAGTAGTAATGCTTCCCTTTCGACCCGATCCCGTTCGGAGGCTCCACTGGGGTCGCCATTTTTCCTTCACATTAACAAATTCGATTAATTTCTTCTTTTTTCCCGCAGAAAGCTTTCAGATTCTCATCAAACAAACAGAAAGATTTTACCTTTTTCAGTCCAGTCCCATCCACTCCGCTATCCCACGTCCGAATCAGTCCCAATTCTCATCCAATCCACCGCAAATTTGCCCCAATTTCACCTACACAAACCCTAGTTCCAATTTCGCCACCGAATCAAGTCATCTGGAATTGGGAACTCGGATTCCGATCTGGGTGCGTAGAAATATCGGCGTTTGACGAGCTGAGAGCTGTGGATTCGTGATCTCGTCGCGGTTAGAGCAGAGGGGGGAAGAGCTAGTGACAATTATGCGGATATTAATTATTTTTTAATATTTTCTGGATTATTATTTTAATTTAATTATTATTTATTTCGTGTTTTTGTCCGATGGATGACGAATCGCAGCATCTCCCACCGGATTTCGCTCTTTTAACGCTAGCGAGAAGACCGACGGATATTTTTAATCGGCGGGACCCATCTTTTTGCAGGGCGGGGATTCAACGGCCCCGCTACGTCGTCGTCTCGTTGGAGTCACGTGATCGGCTCGTGACTTTAAAACGTGGCGCCAAATCTGTAGCCGGAGCGCCAAGCTTCGAAAAGGGAGAAGAAGCTTCGAGCTTTTGCAGAGACAGGGGAGACGGCATCGTCTTCCGCGGCTGTAAGTCTCACTCTCACTCGCTCGCATTTGATTCGAATCTTCAAAGTTTTCGAATTTCTATGGTTTCAGGCTTCGAATTTTGAAAATTTGATGCAGATCGCGGCGAAGTTCGGAAGGGAACCGCGGAGGTTTTCTTCCGGAAAGTGAAGGTCTTGAAGGACGACGGCGACGGCGACGGTTGTGGTTGATCCTGGGCAGTTGCTGCCTAAGGGTTCTGCTGGAATTTGTATGGTATTATTTATATGATAATTTGCATTCTGGTGGCAGTATTTTTGGTTGGTTCTGATTGAATTGTATGGTTTGATTGACTTGCTAAACTTGCATGTTGGTATCAGGCCAAGAGAATGCCAGTGACGACAATCGCAAAATCTGTTGATGCAAATGAGCGTGGAGGTAGAAAGAGAGGAAATTTTTGTGGACGTAATTGAAATTGAGTGTTACATTCAGTTCCAGTGTAAGTACCTCGTGTTTGTCTCGCCATTTTTAATTTCTTGTTGGCGTCACAACCCCCAGGTGGTAATCAATTTTGAGCTGTTTTGATTACTATGATGTTGTTCTTGCAGGGATATACACTTCTGAGATTGATGGTACCATCCAATTGAAGAGTTATCTCACAAGCAATCCAGAAATTTGACTTGCTCTTAATGAGGAAGTGAGTATTGGAAGAGGTGGAGGCTCAGCCTATGGTAATCATTCTGCGGTAGAAAATGCTTTTAGGAGTCGGTGGTCTTCATGAACTGTCTTTCTTTAATAGTTTGCTGGGATTGAGTGTGATCTGTGAGATTTGAATGTCAGAACCGTTAGTAGCATTGCCCTCTTAATCTGATTATGCTGCCTCTTCCAACGGATTATATTTTAGGAACAGGGGTTGTTATACTGGATGATTGTAATTTCCACGAATCTGTACATCTTGATAGTTTCAATGTTGACAGAACACTTACATTGGTGAGTCTGATTGAGACACTGTAATTTTTCATCGTCTGCAGTACTTCTTGAGGATGGAGATATAACTACTGTTCTGTCAGTGCTAAAGTTAATAGATCACGCCACTGTTTAATAGGTACCAGCAGATGGCGAATTTCCTGTCATGAATTTCTTATGTAAACGTTGATACTTTCAAGTAGGGTTCAGGATTGACAGGATCAACAACAGTGGAGCAATTCCAGTTAGGCAGACAATTCATCTCCTAAATTATTCCTTTTCTTTCTCCTCTTTAATATGTTTCATGGAATTGGCCCTTGTATATTACACACTATTTATTATGTTTCAGTTCAAACTTGGGACAGCTTTTAGAAAATTTGGATGAACTTTTACTCAGCGATAATTCTTTAGGCAGCCACATGCAAGAATGGGGAAAAACTTAATCTTTCAAACTGGTTCCATATTTGCATTACCGATTATCTTGTCCGCTCTGGGCCACATCAGGGTTAGTTTTAAGTTGGAACCTGGAGCGGTTGGAAACACTACTGATGGGTTTGCTTCAGTGTTCGAAATTAGTAACAGGTGCCTTACATTGTAGATTGTTGGTGGATCTGAACTTACATTACAGGCAAAGCTGACATTTTCACAGGAATCACTTGGTATACACTATTTTATTTTGGAGCCTGTAATGCTGTATTATATTCAATGTCATTTATGTGTAAATTCTACTTTGTTTCTGCATTTGTACTGATGCAGGAAATATTACCAAAGAAGCAGGACCTCTTAGCATGACCTTCACAATACCTATAGTCAATGCTTCAAGGCTTCTGGTAAGATTTTCTCTTGACCTTCTAAAGACCTAACCGGATGCATCCAATTTCTGTTGACCTATGGTACAAACTCAGAGCTTAAATTTTCTTAATGCTATTAGAATTGTGTAGAAACAAGGGCTGGAAGTCTACGTAAGCAGTGCTACCAAATTAAAACTGACTCGTGTCCTACAAGTGAATGTTATGTGTAATTCAAAATTAGGTTCTACATTAGCCATCTAGGTGAGTTAGTTGACGTTAATTTGAGAATCAAACTCACAACGCGAACCAGTTCTGTATTTTTTATTTTTCATACGTCTATAATCATGTATTCTCAGTTATTCTAAGATGTTGTGTTTCTTCATCTGTCTTGATACAGGTAAAGTACTTGCATATAACAAAGAAGTGGAAGAGCTACAATCCATATCGATGGGTGAGATATGCCACACACTCAAATTCCTACGTTGCTGGGTTGTAATATCTCATCACCCTAGTATGTTTTTATTTCTCTATCGCTTATTTCGTTTACACCAGATCAAAAAATAGAGCTAGTTGCTTGTACCAAATCAGATTGAATCTTTGTTCTGTGTACTATCATGATTGACTCACTAAAACATAACTTTCTGCAATGTGGTAGAACTTGAGGGATGTGTTCTACTTATTGATGTTAATTATAATGACATGACGCAACTGGGCGTTGGACTCTGATGTATCAGCAGGGAGCATGCCCTCTACTGCAGAAAGGGAAACACATTGGAAGCCCATCGACACAATACACGAGTCACAATCAGGCTAGTAAACTGACCAGTTGAGTTCTCTGTGCTTTAGCGAATGTTTCGATTGACTTGCATCAAGACAAAAAATGTCAAGTTCAATTATTTTTAATACTTGTGTGCTGGAGATTATTAGGGTATATATACTGCGCAGTTTCGATGTCTTTTTGGGAGAACTTGATTCATATCACCATCTCTGAGATTCTGAACAGAAGTGGTGTGAAGGAAACTTGGATGATGGGACTCATCTTTCTCTAGATTATCCGTGGAATAGCCGATAGCGAAATGCCGTCCAGATCGTGTGCTCATTCCAAATGGCTAATACTAAAGAAAGCACCCGGATGCCACTTACTCGATTCAGCTAATCTACGTATAAAGTTTCCGACGAAAGGTATCTGCTGCCCTCAAATTTCAAATTCTTGATAATCTTTGACATCAACAATTATGCACAGATACATTTGCTTTAGGAATATGATGCTTGGTTTCGTTGCTTTTTCTGTTTGGTGATGAATATATTGGTTTGCTTTAGTTTGACTAATGGTTATTAACGACGGGAATCGTGTCTAATCGCCCGTCTAATCCTTCCTATCAGCGAAGGAACTTTGGATTAATTAAAGATATAGACATAATCTGGAATGAATTCTCATTCAATGCAGTAGAAGAAAGAGGACACCATATTTTAAGTAATAAACATTCATCGAATATCTTAAAATTTCTTAATTATACTTGAGGATATAATGAGTGTGTACTCTCGGTTGATTCAGAGCGTTCACCTCGTATAAGGTCCTGTAGTCTCGAGTTTACGATACTCTATATTGATTTTAAGAAAATTTAATTCACCAAACAGAGTAAAGGAATTCTTAAATTAAAGATGATATTAAGTTTCATGGTAATGAAACCTAGGTTTTCCCTTGTTCGCAAGAAATCAGGAATTTTCTAGGGAATAACCGGTGAACACTTACCCTCCGAATTTTATTATGCTCTAGTATATTTTTATGCATTGAATTTTTTTTCTATTGCATTTTAATTATTTGAATTCAAACAAAAAATATAACGGCTAAAAACTAAAATGCATTTAATACATCGAAACATGCTAAAAGAATCTCTAATTAGAAATTCTCTTCAAAAAATGTAACTCTCCGTTAACATGGAAATGGAGGACGTTTACTCAGTCATAGACTTACAAGATGAGTTCGATATTAATTTAAAGGAAAACTAATGAAAAGGGATTGAAAACTTTGAGTTTTAATGATAAGGACAAAATAAAGGGTAAAGTGAATAGTACCAGAATTGACTTTTTAGTGTAAAAATGTGGTTTTTCGTTAAAGTGAACAGTACCGGGTGCTTTTCGTTAAAATTTCCTTAATTTAATTGTGCATTGGCTGGTTCATATGGTGGCATGTTTCTATTGCGGGTGAATTATCTCGTTGTAAAATATGGTATTCTTCGTAAGATAACAAAAGAAAAGATAAACTTCAATTAAAAGGACAGATGTTACTTGTTCATTGCAAAATGTTTGGAGAACTATCCATACTCGAGGTACATCAGGACAACGGTGATATACAACAAGTCCAGCTGAGGGGAATCTTTTCGTTTGCTTCTTATGTTGTCCAGAGGATTTTTGTCAGATTCTTTTTGTGAGGATTTTGAGGATCTGTTTATCGTACATTGTGTGGTAAAAAATCATTGTAATTTTTGTTGGATATAAGTCAACAATCTGTGATAATTTATATATGCTAATAAATAATAAATGCAATAGAAACTAACAGAATATAAACTAGAATATGAATTATAAAACAGACAACTTGAAGATCGAGGCTTGCGTACCGCAATGTCCTTGAAACAGAAATTTCGTCCCTACTCTGTGCTTGTAGTTCTACGGACGTCTGCTTCACCAGGATTCAACGATCAAGTTAAAATTCCACAACGATCAAGTTAAAATTCCAGCACCGGAAAATTTAACTTCTGGCGAATTTAGTGTGGTTCTCTCAGTAAGAAGGTTTAGGAATGTAGAAGATGAAGTTGATTATTTTCTGTGTTTTAAATGCTATGCAGATGGATGTATATATAGCAGATGGATGCCTGTTTGCAATAGGTATGAGAATGGGGTGTGACTGTTGGGAGACATCTCTTCAGAGGGGTGCTTTGCTCTGTGTTCAGAAAGAACTCTCAGACTTCATCTGAAATGATGAGTCTTTTCATAAAAAATAAATAATTAATTTAATTAAAAAATAAATAAGTAAATCCGAAAAATAATTAAGTAAATCCGAAAAATAATTAATTAAATAATTTAATTATTAGAGCCCAAGAGCCTGTGTTCAGAAAGAACTCTCAGACTTCATCTGAAAGGATGAGTCTTTTCATAAAAAATAAATAATTAATTTAATTAAAAAATAATTAAGTAAATCCGAAAAATAATTAAGTAAATCCGAAAAATAATTTAATTATTAGAGCCCAAGAGCCTGTGTTCAGAAAGAACTCTCAGACTTCATCTGAAAGGATGAGTCTTTTCATAAAAAATAAATAATTAATTTAATTAAAAAATAATTAAGTAAATCCGAAAAATAATTAAGTAAATCCGAAAAATAATTTAATTATTAGAGCCCAAGAGCCTGTGTTCAGAAAAGAACTCTCAGACTTCATCTGAAAGGATGAGTCTTTTCATAAAAAATAAATAATTAATTTAATTAAAAAATAATTAAGTAAATCCGAAAAATAATTTAATTATTAGAGCCCAAGAGCCTGTGTTCAGAAAGAACTCTCAGACTTCATCTGAAAGGATGAATCTTTTCATAAAAAATAAATAATTAATTTAATTAAAAAATAATTAAGTAAATCCGAAAAATAATTTAATTATTAGAGCCCAAGAGCCTGTGTTCAGAAAGAACTCTCAGACTTCATCTGAAAGGATGAGTCTTTTCATAAAAAATAAATAATTAATTTAATTAAAAAATATTTAAGTAAATCCGAAAAATAATTAAGGAAATCCGAAAAATAATTAATTAAATAATTTAATTATTAGAGCCCAAGAGCCTGTGTTCAGAAAGAACTCTCAGACTTCATCTGAAAGGATTAGTCTTTTCATAAAAAATAAATAATTAATTTAATTAAAAAATAATTAAGTAAATCCGAAAAATAATTAAGGAAATCCGAAAAATAATTAATTAAATAATTTAATTATTAGAGCCCAAGAGCCTGTGTTCAGAAAGAACTCTCAGACTTCATCTGAAAGGATGAGTCTTTTCATAAAAAATAAATAATTAATTTAATTAAAAAATAATTAAGTAAATCCGAAAAATAATTTAATTATTAGAGCCCAAGAGCCCCAAGGCCCATCTTTTGACAATTAAATATATATTAATTATATATTAATTACCAAATAATTAATACACCCCAAAGCCCAACCCCAAGGGTGAGCCCAATTTTAGTCTCCAGGCCTATTACTCCAATCACTTTCTTTAAAGGATAAAGCCTTATAAAGTGATAAAATCTTTTGGGAATGGCCAATGTGGGACAAGTAAATTTCTACTCAAACTACTCAAATTTCCAACAATTTTTATTATTTAAAATTGAATATAAACAGTACCTGACAAAAACTGGCCGTACAATATACGATGAACGGATTTGATTGGAGGATCCGACGAGGATCCTCTCTCCTTGTGTTGGCCTATTTTTCGGAAAAGGATTCTCGCCGGATCCTTTTCCTGGGGATCCCATGATCATTACCGTTCATTCTATATCGTGCGGTCAGTTTTCGTTAAATAATATTTATAGTTAATTTTAAATTTAAAACGATTTCTGATCATACGATTTATGATAAACAGTCATGATTACGGAATCCTCCGAATCTCCGACAAAAGGATCCTCGCCGAATCCTTTTCCCTAATTTTTCCCATTTCCCGAAGCACGTGGCATCCAAATCATGACTGACACCCTGGTAGCTGATGATGCGGCCCCACAACCTCCAAACAGGAAGAACAATATGAGATTGTCTATTTCCCAAATCCAAATCCAGCTCGCCCCCTCTTCTTCTAGGTAAAATAAGGTTCTCCTAGAGTATTCTTTGCCATTGGAACGATTACGACGTTGTTTTGACACATTTTACAAAAATATGAGATTTTTTTACTTTTAATTTCACTTAATTTAACTATCCTTTCAATCAATGTGAAAGTTACCCTAATTATGTAGCTTTACCGAGGTTTCTCTTTGAATTCATAGCTCTGATAAATGGTCCAAGCACTCGAGTGCTGAGATGGCTGCACTTAGAGATTATGAGCTTATTTGAATGTGCTTTTGAAATAATTGAAAACGTTTTTTATGAAAATGTTTTTGAAACCAATTCTTAGTAAAAATACAAGTAAATTCTGAAAAAACACTTTACGTGCTTTTGAAACCAAAAAATATTTTTTCTAAAAGCGCTTTTAATAATTTTAAAAGCACATCCAAACGAGTTGTGACCGATTTATTCACAAGAGAACAATAAGCATTCTATTTATAATAAACTAAATTCTAATATCTAAATAAAAACCTAATTCTAACATACTAAGACTCAATTCCTAAACTTATTATTTTCCAACACGTTTTACTTTTACCTCATCATGTTATATATAAAATGGAAGTGAAAGGTAAAAAGACAAAATTTGATCCTTTCCATCTTGGCAACTTCAAGGGTTGGCGTCTTTGTTGTCCTTTTAAAACGTATGCCTTTGGTTTGGGACAAATATTGAATGATGGCCAATCCATTGTCATCTCTTTTTCCTTGATCCCTTTTCCTTTTGCTCAGTGCCATCAATCTAATGCTAATTAATCTTGTTTAATTAATCTCGAAACATCCAATATTAATCTAAGCTTGGCTTAATTATTACAAAGAGTCAAAAATGAGGAGAAATTTTTCAGTGTGCCTGGAACACAGAGTGATACATTACATATTATTATTTAAGTGGATAAATGTTTTATTTTTCAAGTGTCCCTCCATTTGTATAATAATCCTAGACGGTACACCACAAGTCATTATATAAGTGGAGAAAGCTTTTGTTTTGCAACTATCCATCCATTTGTACAATGAAACGTGGTGTACCATCCGTATTCCGGGTATGCTGAAAAACCTCTCGAAAAAAAAAGAATATTATGTTGTAATAATTTCCATGGACACTTGCAACGTTTTTGTCACCATTTCAAAGGAATATACTGATTTTGAGTAAAATAAAATTCCCAGTTGGGAACATAAGAGTGAAAAGTCTTGTTTTAATTTGAGTGAATTCATACATCAACACAAATTAAGTCAGTGTCTGTTTGCTATTGCGGTCAAAAGCAATAATCATAGTCAAAATTAAATTTTATATTAAATAAAGCATAGGTAAAAATTGAGAAAGAGTTATAGGTAGCCTAACTGACATATAATGACTAATAACTAGACTAAAAGACCTTTGCACGTAGTACTGGTTTGAAGTACGACTTTAATCCCATAATTAGCGCTAACAAATACCTAAAGACATGGGACCTCAAATTACCTAAGAAATGCTTCGTACTTAAATAGAAAGTTATTAGGACTCGAAAATAGTTATTACGCACTTATCAAGAGGACAATACATAGGTTAAAAGAGCAAAACTTACAACGACACCATCAAAAACTTTCATGCATTATTGTGAGATTTTGTCATGCAACATGATATATCTTCACTAGATATCTATCTCATCGCATAACCTAATTACGTGATGAGACTGAAAAAGCGATATAGTCATGGTTACATGCAAGGTTTTGCGCATGAATAGGCAGTAATTTGCAATTAACAACTTTGCTAATGACTTTTTAATAAAATGGAGAAGTGGGGGCATATTGTAACCCCTAATACACACGCCCTCTTGCTAGCCTTACCCCCCAAAAGGAATCTCATCGTACCACCCCTCATATCCAACCGTAGATATTGTTTCTCCACTCTACTACTTAGCTACCTAGCTCCCCTCTCACTTGCCTTGTCTCTCGATCATCTCTCTCTCTCTCTCTCCAGCCATCAGCAACTACTGCAAATAAGCAAGATGTTAAAATCTCAAGAACAACTTCCAGATTGTTACTACCCAAATCAACCAATATTAATCCGCCCAAACTCCCCCACCCCAAAGCATTGCATCCACCTCTCAAATCTCGACGACCAAAAGTTTCTCAGATTCTCAATCAAATATCTCTACCTTTTCAAGAAATCTGTCAACTTAGAAACCCTAAAACATGCCCTCTCTAACGTCCTCGTTGGCTACTACCCATTGGCTGGGAGGTTGAGAAGCAACGCTGACCATGACCAGAAGCTCGAGGTTGACTGCAATGGAGAAGGTGCTGTATTTGCCGAGGCTTTCATGGACATCACTGCTCAGGATTTTCTTAAACTTTCCAGCAAGCCAAACAGGTCTTGGAGGAAACTCTTGTACAGGGTGGAAGCTCTCAGTTTCTTGGATATTCCTCCTCTTGTTATTCAGGTCAGTCCGATTCCGTATATTTTTTTTCTCCTTTCTTTTTTCTTAATCGAACATGTAAATTTCCCATGGAAAAAAAAAAAAAATTTTCTAATAAAACAAATTAACTTTGTACGTATATTGTCTGGGTGAATGGTAACTCGTTTGGAAATTGTTTTTAAAATCACTTAAAACGTTGTTAAGAAAATGTTTTTGGGTCCAAATTAAAACACTTGATATGCTTTTCCAAGATTAACTTATATTTTTATCAAGAGTTGGCTCAAAAAATGTTTTCACCAAATGCGCTTTGAATCATTTTAAAAGCACTTCTGAACGAGTTTTAAATCTTTCTCTAAGGTTCACATTTTTTTTATTTTCTTAGATTAATATATAAAATAGTAATATCACTAGAAATTAAATTTAAAAAAATACTTTTGACATTAAATATGGGAAGTTTGGCATTTTCTCAACTGCCTTTGGTGCTCCAATATCTTCTGGAATTACCGCTTATAGGAAAAAAAATTCATTGTGACTAAAACATGTGGGGTACATCACGTGTTTTTATATAATTGGTAAGAAATTTTATTTTTTAAGTTATTAACTTTTTAACATACATATCTTACTATTTATATAATGACACGTAATATACCATCTCGTTTACCAGTTATATTGAAAAATTTCTCCACTTATAGAGGTAAAATATAACACACCAATATATGCATATATATATATATATAGACACACACACACTTCCAAGGTTTTTTCTGCCATATGGACTTTCCTTTTCAATCACTTATCTGAGGAAATAGAGGAAACAAAGTTCCACTGCACAGTCCTACGCTCAAGACAAACAAGTCGCTTTTCACCCAACAGAACCAAAAATATCGGAAAATGAAATGTGGCCAATATCTACCCTCGGTCCACCAGAAACAGGGTTACTTTTGTCTTTCCGTTAAGGTGACGCCAACCTTTTCAAAAATTTCAATCTAAATCTTTGGTATAAATTCTAGTGCTAATTAAGTGAAGAAAAAAAAATTAGAATCTCGTGATTATAATAAGTTTAGTGTTCGATTCTCTTTCGAGTAGCAAAAAGAGAATCGTCACCTCTCCTTTATAAAGGATCGTTATCAATAAAATAGAAGAGAAGGAAAATTAGCTCATGTCCAATATATATAGGAAATAGGATGGGTATTTAGTAGTAGTCATCCTTTTTCTTTTGAACTAAACGTTAAAGAAAAGGTGGAGTGCCCCATGTCCTTCATCCATGTTGCTCCAAAGATAATGACCCAAGACTCCCAAGTTGTGTGATTGTGTTGCGTTAGTGACCTCTTCTCATCTCACCATACTACCTAGCCTGAGACGATAGATTTCAACTTTAGGGTTTGGTGAATTTCATTTCGTGCTTTTTTTTTTTTTTTTTTTTTGAGTGGTTTCATTTGCATCCAATGTTTTCTTTATGCTTTTTTGTTCACCAAAACGTTTTTGCACAAATTTCTCATTTTGCACCCTCATTCCTTTTTCTATTTAACATTTGTTTTATCACTTTTTTGATAAGACTATAAAAGAACTTGCACTAAATTATGAAAAAGAGGATTCGAACTTGTGAAAAGAGAGACATACACACTACCATGACTAAGCTACCTAATTTACATCTACGAAACTTGTTTATTACGTAAAAGAAAGATAATTGTGAGGGGTGTGAAAAGTAAAATTGGATGGAATCCAACAACTTGGGGTAAATTTGTGATTTTTGAAAATTTAGGTCCTTAACTTACCAAACAAATAATTAAGGGAGTTAATTTCAAATAGGATGTGATATCCACACATCCCATTTTACTTCTCACACATTTTTTTTATTTTCGACTGTCGGATTGGATAAATTGAAGAAGATCAACGGATAAAAATTATCAAAGAGTATGTGAGAAGTAAAATGGGATATGTGGATAGCACACTCCCTTTCAAATAGTATGATAGTTCAGAAGGTAAACATTTTACTATTTTTATTTTCATGTATACAAAACTCTCTGTATTTTTTATATAAATGCAATTCCAATTTTGTAGGTTACAAATCTCCGTTGTGGTGGAATGATCTTGTGTACAGCAATCAATCACTGTTTATGCGACGGCATTGGCACATCCCAGTTCTTACACGCGTGGGCCCACATAACAGCGAAGCCAGATCTCGATCCACCAATCCAACCGATCCACTCTCGCCACGTGTTAAAATCCCGGAGTCCTCCAATGGCAACCTTCCGTCATCCTCAATTTACCCTAACAAGCAACAATGGCCACGTGGACATAATGAGGCTGCTCCAATCGCAGCCGCTTGTCCCCACATCCTTAACCTTCACCCACTCCGACATCCTTCACCTCAAGAGACGATGCGCACCCTCGCTAAAGTGCACCACTTTCGAAACCCTGGCATCTCATACGTGGCGCTCCTGGATTAGATCATTGAATCTGCCACCGTCTCTGAACATCAAGCTCCTCTTCTCCATGAACATACGAAAAATGTTAAACCCTCAGATCCCACAGGGCTACTACGGCAACGGGTTCGTGCTAGCATGCGCCGAAACCACCGTGAAGGATCTTGTCGGTGCTAACTTGCGGCATGGTGTTAAGTTGGTTCAACAGGCCAAACAAGATCTTAATGATGAGTATGTAAGGTCGATGGTTGACTTATTGGAGGAGAAAACATTGAAGACGGATCTGTGCGCGAGTTTGGTTATATCGCAGTGGGCGAAGTTAGGGTTAGAGGATTTGGATTTCGGAGAAGGGAAGCCATTGCATATGGGGCCTCTAACGAGTGATGTTTACTGCTTGTTTTTACCTGTTGTTGGAGATTTGGATGCTGTGAGAGTTCTTGTGTCCGTGCCCGAAAGCTTGGTTGAGAAATTTGAATATTACATGACAGAATTTTCGTGTGCTGAAGAAAGAAATGGAGATCATCGTGCTAATGGATTCCATGCCGAAGATCCAATGGAATATTAGATATTTGATTGAGGATTAATGAGAATTTTTGTTTGTTCATTGAATATTTTTTATCCTCGAGTCTCAGCCAATGTATCATGTATGAGTATAATAATGGGAGCAGCTCACTACTGTAAAATGAGTATCGATAATTAATTGTAAACTGACTGACAAGTTTTTAATTTGTTTGAGTGTGTTTTGGTTTTTGCGACCATATCAAATGCTATTAGAACTATATATATATATGTGTGTGTGTGTGTGGGTTTATCTGTTGAAATTAAACTCTATAGCCAAACCCTAATTGGTTTAGATATTTATATATATTCGAGAAAGACTAGAGTTGGAGTTTTATTTGGTAAGTTATTTCATGTGTGCATCGATTAATAGGAAGTGACTGGTTTTAATTACTAAGGCAATACGTGATTTTTGTAAGGAAGTAATTCTATGAGCTTTAGTATTCTAGTTACAAGTTCATTAGGGTTTCTTAAATCCGTTAGTGGGTAGGATTCTAGAAGCATTAAGCATTACAATCACAACCTTATATAGAACTTCACATTAGTACGTGAAAAAGGAGCAGTAGTGCATAGATAAGCATGAAATATATTAAAGCTTACAATATGATACCATGCAACACGTGCATGATGAAGATGATCGAACTTGCACATAACGAAGTGTATATCATTTTTTTTGTCTATATCTTTTTTCTCATATGATAAGATTTGACAGGTTGTGTACTTTTTTTCTCCACATGGCAACACATCTCAAACACAATTAAGCTTATATATGGTTTGCTTAAGTATCTTAAATCCAACATTAAGTTCAACAATATTAATTAATTGGTAGTGGGAAAAGTGATGGCCATTACAAAATTCCATGTGTTACGACGTGTAAAGACAAATCAAAGTTTCATCATTTGGTTGGCAATCTTGTACGTTTTACTTTAATTTCCACTGCAAAATAAATTAGCACTAAATCTTTCTTTGTCAATTCACAAGCTATGCTATACTAAAGGCATCATACACTATAGGAACGTCATAATTAGGTCCACTTAAATTTTCATTACCATCATATAAAAAATTCCAGAGGCAAAGATGTTAGGAAATTAATCATACTCATATATATACCATCTCTTCCAATAAAGTTTTTTTTTATCTTAAAAATAAAATGGGACTCGTGACACTCCTCCAATAGCTCGATCATTCAATTTCTCATCAATCCATAAGAGAATAAGGTATCTCCTTTGTTTTTTGGTCTATGGAGGCCTCTATTATTTAGCATGCGTGTTCTAAAGATAACTTAATATAAAGTAGCATATAGTTACATTAAGGTGAAGTGATATGTGTATATATATGTATACATATATATATATATTTATTTATGGGAAATATATAATGAGAATCCAAGCCGTCCAAATCATGATTTGCTCCCAAATTGCATCACCTTTATTCCAAACTAAAGCGATTAAAATGTTTGCTTGAAGCATGCACCCCACAATTGAGAAATGAAAATATACGTGAACGATAAGCATCTTAAGTTCTTATGAATGGTTAATTAACTACTTCTCAAAGGCAGGCTAAGAACTGTGAAGATATGAAAAAATGTCCTACATCGAAAGTTTGCCTGAACAGTGTGTGTGGCTCCATAAATAAGATTAGGTTAAGAGTTGAAAACCCAGGTAAGAGTTAACACTTAACACTTCCCTAGCTAATACTATAAATAACAACAAATTATCAATACAAAAATAGAGCCTTCCCTTTCACTTTAATTTATTCATAAAGTAATTGTCAGTGGTGTGATCGTAATCTTTGTTCGAGACTTCGAGTGTGCTGACAAAGATCGATCTCAACTCATCTTATCTACCCCATCGGTTAGATCGGTGCATGTTATCTTTTTGGAGGAATCTGAACTGAAGTGTACGCACTTCACCTATTTTGTACAAGATATGATTTAAAACAATTGATCAAATATATGTCAATTTCCACGCTTACAATCGCACTCTTGGAAGATATAATATAAGTCCACCACCATCCAAAAACTTATATATATTTGGTTAGTTAGGATTCACAGACACACATTATCAATACATATTTTGACACACATTTTATAGGTCTGCTTTGTAATGTATTTTAATGATCAAATCGTCTATCTTTATGCCTTACCTTAAAGATCATGTCTACTAAAAAATACACAAATTTGAAACCATGTCTATTGGATTAAGTTCAATGTTTCTTTGTAAAATCATATTCGTTCGTTTTCTTTACAGCAAATGAATGTCTTAATTAGTTTTGGATCCGAATTTTTGCATGATCTATGAATATTGTAGTAAAATATAGACGGTATTGATCCTTGATATACGTACATTACGGAATAGACCTTCAAAAAATGTGCATAAAAAACGTATATCCCTGACCGAAACCATATATATGTAGAAATGATACATTACATATATAATATATTGAAGACAATGCTTTTTTTGCCAATATTTTGAAGACGATGCTTCACAAGTAGCAAAATGTAGTGGGTAAATCAAATATGAAGACGGCACATAATAAACATATAAGTTAGTAATGATTACTCGAGGCCACTAGGGCACTACTAGGTTGCAAAGTAATCTTTATAGACCCACATGAAAACAAATCTAGGATCTAAACGTGACACTTTAAAAGCATGCACACACACATTATATATATTGTCCATTGAAGTCCAAGTTTTATAGTTGTTATTTGCTTTCTTTTGTTATTTTAATGGTACAATTAAGTATAAGCTAAATAGTCAAAATGGTCATTGAGATTTGCATAACTCATCACTTTGGTCCATAACATTTCAAATCGATAAAAGTGGTCCCTGAGATTGTCCACCATCCATCATTTTGGTCATTCCGTTAAAAACTCCGTTAAGTGTCCCGGAACTCTTGGCCGGAAGTTTGGGCAATTTTCAGAGCTTCGTAACTCAATCTTTTCTTAACCAAATTCGACCCATAATATATAAAAAAGAAGATAGGAAAGTGTAGAATACGATTATACCTATTTGGAAGTCCAATGGCTGCCGGAGATGCCCAGAAAATAGCCTCAAAGTTGACTGGTCCGAGGGAAAATTGGAAAACTCGCCGGAAACTGGGTAAACTTTAAACGTTCATAACTTCTTCAATACTCAACGAAATCAAATGATTCAAAAACAAAAATTATACTTCTCGACAAGATGAAGATAATAGTACCTTTTTAGATGGCTAAATCTCCGTGGTTTGGCCGGCGGAAAACGGCTTGGAAGTGGCTAACTTGAGACCAAGACAACCAATTTCGAGCCGTTTTCCAGCCAAATCACTGTGATTTAGCCATCGAAAAAGGTACCATTCTCTTCGTCTCATCGAGAAGTATGATTTGCGTTTTTGAATCACTTGATTTCATTGAGTATTGAAGAAGTTATGAACGTTTAAAGTTTACCCAGTTTCCGACGAGTTTTCCAGTTTTCACTTGGACCAGTCAACTTTGAGGCTATTTTCTGGATATCTCCAGCAGCCATTGGGCTTCCAAATAGGTATAATCTTATTCTACACTTTCCTATCTTCATTTTGATATATTATGGGTCGAATTTGGTTAAGAAATGATTGAGTTACGAAGCTTTGAAAATTGTCCAAACTTCCGGCCAAGAGCTCCAGGACACTTAACGGAGTTTTTAACAAAATGACCAAAATGATGGATGGTGGACAATCTCAGTGACCACTTTTATCGATTTGAAATGTTAGAGACCAAAGTGATGAGTTATGCAAATCTCAGAGATCATTTTGGCTATTTAGCCTTAAGTATATATTAGAAAAATGTTGAACACACACTTTCTTTCCTTTTACATATACATCGTTGTTTAACTTTGCCAATTGTTTATGATTCGTAGATAAATCTAATCGCTAGACCTAAGGAGGGTGTATGAGAGGCTAAAAAATGAGTGCAAAGAACAACTCCCTAATATGATTATAGGCTTAATGAGTGTCGTTGCACTCCAAAAATGTATTACACACTATTTTTGAAGTGCTAATGTACCACCCTTATAAAATATAGGTAGGGACCAAATTGATGTGTTTGGTCAAGAAGATGAAAATTGATCGATTTCAAATTGAGAGACCAAAATGATGAGTTAATTAAGTCAATTTCAGAAACTATTTGAGAGATAAAAACTCTATAATATATGCATATTTTTTCTGACTATCATCACTTCAATTCTTCTAGCATTGCACTCCCAAGGATCATAAGTTTGAAATCATTTTCCCTTTATTATTAGGTGCACTTTTTAAAAGACGAAACGATAGTTGTTTACTTATTAGGTGCACTTCGTTTGTCATATAATTAAAGAATTATCGCCCAATCATATACAAAGCTTGAATCGTATCCATCCATTAAAAACAGTTACATTTGATATCAACCTGTTTGGTACAAACCAAAACTTCAAATCCTAATTCAAAACTTTTCATAAATTAGTGGAGGTGGGTGGTAGTAATGAGTGTGCAATGGTTGTGAGGTGACATATAACAACATAAAATGACATTGTCACATTGATAATAATTGAGTCGGTGGTGATTACTAAATTGATTTTCGTTACGTTATGTAGGATTATTAATTTACTTTTGTTATAACACATGTATTAACTTATTAAAATTATAGCGAAAATTTATACAAGCAATATATTATAAGTTTTCAATATTGTGTTATCCGCCATTATTATAACATGAATTTTTTAAAATCATACTACATCGTAATTGTCACACTAAAAAGTTTCTCAGTGTTGTGTTTTCAATTCACATATTCACATATAAGAAATGCTATCAACCTTTGCATTAACTTTTGTATCTTGGACATTTTTACTTCTTCACATAATACATGTCATTCTTTTATACAAAAAACCAAGACATTTAATGCCTCTCAAGTTATTTTATTTTTATTTTTTAACATTAATTCATAACCAAAGGCATTAAAGGTCTTTTAAAAAAAAATGACACATGTGATTTGTAAAAGTGAAAAAATCCAAGACAAATGCTAAGGATGCTCTCTAAAAAATAGAAATCTTCATGGACTCTCTGACACCTGAGTTTTACGTCAATTCTCATACCAACATTATGAAACATTGTGTCAAAAACTTGAAATCACAGAGAATCTATGGAGAACTCTACTTTTGAAACAGTCCCTTGGGATTTCTTAAATTCAAAATACCAAGGTTAGCACTCCCCTCCACATAAGTTTTAATCTAGAGGCCCAAGACCCAGAAAAGTTGAGGCCCAATAGCAAGTGCTTCGTTGAGGCCTGAGCCCAGTTTTTGCCAAGCGACATGTCGTATCAAGAAGATGTTGGATACTAAACCAAGACACAACCGAACGGACTAAGATTCTCTCATCTTCTCTTTTTATCCCCTTCCATCCCCTCCTTTCACATTCTTTATTTTGTCTTTCTATTTCTATAAAAAATTAATATAAGATGTTGACGTGGTTTACTTATGACCGTTTAAATGAGGAAAGAGTATTTTATCTTTCTCTTTCTATAAAAAATTAATATAAAATATTGACGTGGCTTAACCGTGACTGTTCACATGAGAGAAGAAAGAAACGGAGAGAAAAAAAAGAGAGAGGAGATCATCCTTCTCCCAATCGAACACCTTGACTTCGCAAGACCCAAGTCCGCGGATGGTTCAAACCACGTGCCAGTTAAGCGCGTGGATGGACGCGTGATGCGTGCTTTCGAAGGGAAGCAAGTCAACGCAGACCGAATTAGTTAACGGTAGCGGACTTAACAATTCTAGGGTTTCCGATTTCCTCCTTTGGTAACGCACGCCGACGCTGCAGTGAGCTGTCCGCCGTCGTCTCAATCTTCCCTCTTTTCGCCGTCACTGTTTCCTCGTTTTCATCAAACCCCTGGGAAACCTAGGAACCTCCTACTGCGAGAGGTACGAGATTGCCTGTTTATCTACTCTGGTCTCTCGAAGTTCTCCGTTCGGCTGCGAAGTTTCGAATCCTCGTCTTCGGTTAGTGTTTGATCTTTCAAATTTTCTTTTTTCTTTTTTTAATTTGCATTGTTTCTGGATACTGTTTTTCCTGTAAAGGTATAATCTTTACTGTGATTTAATCACTATTTTGGCTTGAAAATCTTCAATTTTAAATCTTTTGTTTTTGGGTGAAACTGCAAATTGAAATTATAACTGGGTTTTGGTTTGAATTTTTGTGCTTAATTGAAAAAATAATTGTAATTAATTTTTAAAATTTTGTAGTTAATTATAGTTAGGTGGAGATTGCTTAAGTAAATGTTCACCTGGCTTGTTTTATAGGTTGATTAATCTTTGAGATTGAGATGCTAAAAACCAATGTTGGTTCATCCGTGTCGTGTTGCGAGTTTAATTTTGGTGTGCTGTGGCGTTATGAATTTATGATTAGAAGGTGACAATGGCTAGAGGGGTGCCCGGGAATCCTGCTGGACCAGGGGTTGCGGAAACTTCAACTAGCATCTGCATCCCGGAACCAGAGGAACCCCTGTGCTCTATGCGTAAGTGGTATTTTACGAGAGAGGAGATCGAAGATCATTCTCCATCTCGGAGGGATGGAATCAGCCTGAAGAAAGAGTCACAGTTGCGGAATTCATATTGCTCGTTTCTTCAAGCGATTGGGATGAAGCTTAAAGTGTAAGTTCAGTTGATTTGTGTATTGATAGTATCTTATGGTTGTCTTACTATACGGCATGTTTTAACTTGTTGAATCCTATAGAATAGTCTTCTGTTCTCTGCATCTCTTTTCGGTTTTTGTACTTGCTATATCTTAGATAACGCTACAAACTATGCTGTATTCTCTCTTAGCTTGAACATTGTTTTTGCTTACGTGCCTATCGGCCTCAAATAACAAGAAAATAAACTTCCGTAATGTTGAAGGCATGTTCTTTCTATGTCACGTTAATTAATCTTGCTATATATTGAGCTAACTATGAAGTTCTCTATTTGCTTATTGTCTTGAGATAAGTCGGGTCCCTTAAGACTGTTAAGTTCTTCTTCTGTGTCCCATTATCTTCAGCATTATCCAAACTTTTTAATGTTGCCATAATTGATTGGTTCAAACCTTCGACCTTTTTAGCCATCGTTAAGAAGATATAGATATTTTCTTCTACTCAATACTTTTGTATTTCATGAGGTTCCACCAAGATCCCTCAAATGCGATTAATAAATTACTTTTGGGGGGGGGGGGGGAAGATTTTTGCTTTCTATCATCTCCCTTTTCTGTTCGTATCCTGCATCTTATTAATCATTTATTGCAATTCCGCAGAAGATAATAATCAATAGTAAAAGTGATTACTACTACGTCTCATTCAGGTCTCAGACGACAATAGCATGTGCAATGGTGTTGTGCCACCGGTTTTACATGCGTCAATCTCATGCTAAGAATGATTGGCAGGTAATTCAAGTTTAATTGGCCCTCTAGCCAGGCTAGGGTTCTAATTAGTTTTGGATTTAGTTACTATTCTTGTCTATTGATTTGCCTTGCTAAAGATTTTCTGTTTTATGTTATTTGGACCTTCTGTTTAACAATATGGTTGTATACATTCCACAGACAATTGCAACTTCAAGCTTCTTTCTTGCTTGTAAAGTACGAGAAACGCCACGCTTTTTGAAGGATGTTGTTGTTGTGGCATTTGAGATGGTGCACAGTTTAGATTCTTCTGCCTTAGAAAGTATCAAACAAAGAGTATGTAGACACACCCCTTTTACGGCATTATACATATCCTTGTAATGATGGTTGCTTATCTTCAACCTTCTGCATTTAGGAAGTTTTCAATAAGCAAAAGGAATTGATTGTGGTTGGGGAGAGACTTGTTCTGGCAACAATTGGTTTTGATCTTGACATTCAGCTTGCATACACGTCACTCGTTGCAGCTTTAAAGAGTTTAAATATTCTCCCCGACCTTGCTCAGGTGGCATTGAATTTTGTTAATGACTGGTGAGCATTGTTTAATTCCTTATAGGAGCTCTGTGTGTGTGTTTTTGTGCTGAAGCATAATTGGATATTACGTTTGTTGTTTTCATAATTGGTCCTTTATATGAATGTATCATGTATGTGCAGCCTTCGTACATCACTGTGCTTGCAGTACAAGCCCCATTATTGCAGCTGGTTCAGTGGCTCTTGCTGCCAAAGTTCAAAAAGTGAAACTACCAACACAACAGGGAAAAGTTTGGTGGCTGGAGTTCGATGTTTCACCAAAGCAATTAAATGGTGCGTTACAAGTCCTTACTTGGTTTTTATCGTTCTATTATATGGATTCATGAATCATGATCTTTGACGTGTGTATTATATTCATTTGGTGATATCCTCACGTAGTATGCTTTGCATATGGTTCATATTTTGATTAATGCGTTTTATTATATTTCCTCAACAATTACACATGGTTGTTGGATATAGTGTTAGATTTCCCTCTCTCTCGGTACCTCCATTCTATTCATACATCAGGACTTGGAATCGTATATGTTTTCCTTTGTTGGAAAATGTCTATAACTTATATGCACTTTCTCAGAGGTCATTCAGCGGATGATGGGGCCAGGCGGAAAAAAAGCTCTAGCGCCCGAGAATGGAAGAGTCGTTGCATCTGAAACACTGCCTAGAAAGCCAAGTGGTATTGACGAGGGTGGTGGGGACGAGATTAAACCAACAAAAGAAGAATTGGATGGTCTGAACTCAAAATGCAAGATTGCTTCTATATCTGAAACACTGCCTGGAAAGCCAAGTGGTATTGACGAGGGTAGTGGGGCCGAGATTAAACCAATTAAAGTGGAATTGGATGATCAGAACTCAAAATGCAGGACTGTTTCTGCTCAGACCAACGGTAGTAAGATTGATGTTGATCGGATTAGAGATGCTATAAAGAGGAGAAGGCGCGATAAAGTTGTAAATAAGAAGTCAGTTCATGCCATAGATGATGAGATAGATCCTGAAGCCTGGATAGAAAGTGAGCTTGAAAATGGAGTAGAGCTACAAAATGCATCCGCAACGAAGAAACAAAGGTTGTGAGTTTTTTCATGCCGTTACAGGCATCTTCCTTTGTGTATTAGAGTGTGATTCTTCGGTTAGAAACTCGATTCTTCTAATTCTGTAAGTAATTTTGTTTTTTGTCGAAAAATTGTGTATGTATTTAAGTAGAGAGTTATTCTAGTAATTAAAATCTTGCAGTATACATCTAAATACGGCAAAATTTCTGCCTCATCTGATGTATGAAATTCAGGTACATTATCTGTCTGATGCTGTAATAATACAGTGGATCATCTCTCTTGTAAATAACAAAAATAAATAAATGGGACGGATTTATCCAGAAGTTGGGCTTCAAAGGTTTGCTATATTGGGCCTTCTGCGAGAGAAAATAAAAGGCCGATCGGTCTTTTAAAGTTCGGCCCATTTTAGTTTTGAAACAAGGGTAAAGTGCCTATTTTATCTAATTTTACGTCAACTCAAGTTAATTGACACACTTTAGAATGTAATATTGTCATTTTCTCACCTATAAACCCTTAACATTTCATATAGGTTGCAAATCTAACGTCTAATCTATCCTCCAAAGTTAACTCCATACACTATTTCTTTGTGGAAATTTATCCATATATCCTCTAATGTGTATCACATGCAAGTAACGTGACTTAAATTGGGAGAAAATTGAATATGGTAGCTTTGAATCTAATATTAGGGATGTAATTGGTAGATTTTTATAATTCAATAACTAATTTTTCCAAAAAATTGCTTTAGGGACTTATTTTTTACTAAAGTGATAATTCAAAGATTAAATTGATAGTTCATCATAAATAACACCAAGTCATTTCTCTTCAATTCATACTTTTTTTTTTAACTTTTTCAAATTAGAGTTTCTACTTATTTTTTAGGGTGCTTAAACAAAATGGTTACTCTTATCACATATTTCCTACAAAATCTGTACCATCTTTCAAATAGATGTAGGACCCACTTGTGTTGGTGGGCCTTACATCTATTAGAGATGTTGTACAAATGTGGTATATAAAATGGAAGAGGACATCCTTGGGATCCCCATATCCTAGTCATTTATCGTACATTGTGTTGTCAGTTTTTGTCAGGTACTATTTGTGTTTAATTTTAAATAAATAAAAAAGTCAAATGATTTCTAACTACATAATGTACGATGAATGGCTAGGATGTGAGAATCTCTAAGATCCCCACAATTTGGATCCATATGGGATCCAAATCCATATAAAATGTAGTAAGTGTATCATTACTCATATATATATATAACAAACAATATTATCTATACTAAGAGGAGGGGGTAGGCTTAGTCTCACAATGGGTAACAATAATATGGTTCAAATTCGCGTTTGACGAGAATCGAACCTAAGACCTCTCACTTAAAAGAGGATACGATTAGACCGTGGTACTAAGTGTCGTATCATTACTCATACTTAAAATGCAAAAAGCCAACATAACTATCTATGTGACAATCAAATGGGAGATATTTTTTAGTGTGCCTGAAAAACGGGTACATACGCCATGTCATTATATAAGTAGATGGACACTAAAAAACTTCTTTCCACTTGTGTAATAAAATATGGCGTACTGCCTTCGCATTTCAAACACCTTGAAAAATCTCTTATAAACTGAACAAAGTGAGCTCATTCTATCATCACGAATAATTGAATGATAGATCTTTTATTTGATGAATAAATGATTATTGTATTTTTTTTCTTATGCACAAGTTTATTTATATATCTTAATTCTTCATTAATAATTATGGGTGTAATCACTTCATGTTTACTTTCTCTTTTGCAGATGTCAATGTTCATTCGTATACATGTGGACATATTTTTCTTGATTTCTTTGAAGCCTTTGAATAAAGCATGGGCACTGATCACTTGGCATGTTCTTATATGGGAATTGAATATAGCCATTGAAAGAACATGTTGGTGAGTACCAAATTAATTAAGTTAAAACCATTTGGAACGTCATTAGGTATAGTGGATGCAAAAGGGGCCAAAGTCATAAGAGATTCGTTCATGATAGATTGGTTGTATCGAGCTTAAATCAAGCAAGTTAGAGATTCATCATCAATTTTTTTAATGTCAAATTAAACATGCTTGAAGTTTTCAAATTAACAGAGAATACCTCACCTCTAATGATAAAGGTGGCAAATCAACTCATTGGTTACTTCCATTAAGATCCATTTAGTTTGATTTCACCTTACACCATCATCACAATTACCAATATCACCTCTAAATTACGGTGATATCAAATTAAACAGATTTTAACAGATACCCATTAACAATCCAATAGACTAATTTACCACCTCTACTTAACGGTCGGTAGCAAAAATCACCTTCAATTGCAGAGATATGTGGCTGAAAACCAAAATATAGCTAGCTAGGAAGATGAGGACTCGCATAGATTAATAACGAAATATTATTTAGGGTTCAGTGGGCATAGAAAGCAAATGACAAAAAATTAAAATAAAAGTGATGGCCCCTTAGTGTTGGATTTCATGGCCTTAAGTTTTGACAAGCATATATTCTTCTGTTCCAGTTATTTGTCATCTTCTCAAGACACACCTTTAAATCCTGCAACTTTAGACCCTCCTTTTTAGGGTTTTTGCCATATATTTTCTTGAAAAGTTCATTTTATAATCGAGTGGAAAAGCATCACCAAATAATGATCATGGTAAACAATTGGAGGAAATTAAAGAGGGCGAAACAACTTCTTAATTAATCTCTAGCTTGCTATAAAGTGTCTAAACATGCAAATGTTGTATATTATATGTGTCAAAATACTTGTCAATTGTTCCACAGTTTCCTCGTAGCGAGATACAGTGCGTTTTATGGGGATGTAGCTTCGATTCGTGGTGGTGCAGTTAATGTTTAGTGTTAGTTTAAAGTTTTAATATTGCGAATTGTATGAACTTGGTTTTGAATTATATTGTGTTTGTTATTACCATTCATATCTTGTAGACGTCTTTGATGTATATTTAAATTTTATCTAATGAACGTTTCCTATATATAAAAGTGAAAATAAAGTATCATCATCATGTATCTTATTCTTTTATGAAGGGAAAAGGAAAAAAAAAACTTTTTCATGAACTTTATTTATGTGTGTGTGCGCGCGCGTGTGTATTTGATGTTTACCTTCACGTCAAGAGAGACTTTATTTCCCAATCCAATGTGTTCTTGTTTGGAGCTACTAAAGTTCTTTTAGCATCTTTCAAGTTCTGTATATAATTTAATTTTAAGGAAAACTAACGAAAAATCCAAAAAAACTTCTCTTTTAATGAAAAGTAATTTTTAAAGGTATAATGAATAGTACCAGAGAAATGCATAAATGTGGTTTTTCGTTAAAAGTGAACAATACTAGAAGTGTTTTGTTAAAACTCCCTTAATTTTACTACAGTTACATACGACCTTAGAATCTCTTCACAGCTAGTAAACCACACTAAGAAAATTCTTGAAAAGTTTGCTTATCAAACCCTTTTGGGTTTCTCAGTAATTTCAATAATTATAAATAGGTTTAGTTTCTTTGACAAAAAATATATACATACACATATATACACACACATATATATAGGTCTAGTTTAATGTAGAGAATCAAATCAAATCTCACCCAAAACCCTCTATGTCTTCTCTGTAACTTATCTCATTTGTTGACACCGGACCATTTATTTAAACTTCACTTAACAACGTTAACTCTTTAACTTATCACTTCAATAAAAAATAAAAAAAACTCAAGATAAATTAAGTCAAAATAACACGTGTTACTCAATAGGACATAAAGAGGCCATTAAAGATTTTGAGTACAAAAGATTTGAACTGTTTAGTGAAACGCGAGGCTGACGTAGGCTACGATGACTAGTGATTGGGATTGAATTAAGAAGGTTCTAATATTCGTTCCACTAAGCATTGAACAATACAGTGAAACTAATTAAACACACAGTGTTATGTGTACGTGCGGATTATACTAAAGTAATTAGACAAAAAAATATTGATATATTTGGAAAAGTTTACGATAAAGTAGCTAGGGTTATATTATAAGGCAACATCGTAAGTGCCACAGACCTAGTGAGTGTGTTGTAAAGATGTATTAGGTGTTTCAGATATTGACAAGTGTACGTAGATTAGGTTGCTAGGTAGTTAAAGTTTGTTAACTTACTTAGTGACTAATATAGCCTTGTCTATATATATGTGTAGATATTGTAACACATTTCATTCATTCAATACATACAAGATACAATTCATTTCTCTCTCTAAGATTGCTATTCTCTCAAATCTCTCTTTCTCTCTCAAGAATACATATGGTGAACAAGAACTTCTTTGCTATTCTGACATGGTATCCTCGCCGGTGATGACGACTTCTCGATCCTGATCTACTTTGTTTGCTTCCGCATTCCTGATCTCTTTGTTCTGGTGTGCATTTCTGCTCTTGATTTTCCTCTCTCTATAGCTCTGTGAGGTTGTGTATCTGCGCAGTTGCTTTCTTGCCGTCTATGTCTCATTGTGCACGCCAAGTGTTTGATTAATTGCTTCTTCCACGATCTGTTTGCATTGATATCAAATTTCACGATATCTTCACGATTGCATTCTTTGTGATCTTTTTGTCCGATTCTTCTCTCTGAAACCATAGTTTTGTGCTCGTTTTCACGAATTCTCCAATTCTTGCAATTATGGTGACTGCTGCACAATTACAGATTGTACAGTCTCCAATCACCAATCTCATTTCGAATGTCTCTAATTCTGTTACTGTGAAGCTTGATGATACGAATTATCTGGTATGGAATTATCAGATTCGATTACTT